ATAGGGTCAGGTACAGGCGAAGTAGGTAAAGAGGAAGAATAGGCAGGAGGACCAGGAAATGAAGGTGGATCATCATATGTGCCCTAATCAGTGTGGCCTGGAGGGATGAAACCAGGTGTTAGTTCCAGGCCTTGAAACAGGCCGCATACTTGTCTCTGCTTAGTTTATGAGGCTGTATTGGGAAAAGGGAGTTGTTGCACTGATGGGAGGGCAATGTTTCTTTGGGCTGTGGAAATTCCTTAACCTTCCACATATTGCTGTGGGACTGACATGAATGTTCCATAACAAATATCTGGAATTTCCCAAGGGTACCTTGAACCCCAGTTAACGTATGTAAAATGTTTTGCAAATGCAAAATTACTATATAAATGTGAGCTAATTGTTATGACTCTTCTGCCCCTCACAGAAGGAGGATGGGCTTTTGCCCAAGCCTGCAGCTTCTGGCGAAGAGGAGGAGGAAAAGGGCCGGGGTGAAGCATCGGAGGACCTTTGTGAGCTGAGCTTGGATGCAGAACTGCTACTGTTGAGGGAAGATGTGGAGGAGGATTTTAGTATGTTGGGAGCCTAAGAGAAGAGGGAGGGAATGTTGGTATGGGCTGGGTTGTTCAGTGGTTTGGGTCTGAGGCTGCTTCTTCAATGTATTTTGCTGGGTTTCTTCAGCAGGGACAAAACTAGAAGATGCTGAGGTACGGTCTGTTGCCTCAAACCAATCAGAGATGGAATTCTCCTCACTTCAGGACATGGTGAGGATCCCTATTTTCCCCACCTTTTGCTCACTAAGTAGGGTTAGTTATCACAGTTGGGGAAGCCTCTGATCTGAGCAGCACTTTTAGCACTTCTTGGCCCTTGGCTTCTTGCTCTTTCTGGAGAATACACACTTAGGGAGAAAATTTTCATGTGTACAGACAGCCAATAGAATTCAGTGTCTAAGAATATATTTAACCTCCACTTGATACTCATCTGTACGGCAAAGCCCCTTAGGGTTCTTCTGATAACGTTCACACTTGAACTTCCTAGAGCTAGTTTCAGAACTGAGACACTCTGCACAGAAATCTAGTAACTGGAATTCCTTTACTTCGCCTGACAGAGCTCAGATTCAATGACTTTTCCAGCTTACTAGCCTCAGTGAAGCAAGTATCCAGCAATTCAGTTTGGCCATAAATGGCTATGTTTGTAAACACTAAGCCAGTTGGAAATTTTTCTTCACTTTCCCTGGTTCTCTCTCAGCCCAAGGAGCTAGACCCCTCGGCTGTGTTGCCCCTGGACTGTCTTCTCGCTTTTGTGTTCTTTGATGCCAACTGGTGTGGCTACCTTCACCGACGGGACCTAGAGAGGATCCTGCTCACTCTTGGACTTCGGCTCACTGCAGAGCAGGTATCTTTTCTCTCCTTGATTGCCACCTTGCCCTGGGATGAGATATTTTGTTTGCATGTGCTCTCTGCCCCCCCACTTCCCCAACACAGGACTCAAGCCAGGTATTCAGTAGCCTCGATTCTTGTGTTAGACAGCTCTTTCTGATCCTTGTGCAGTGATGGGTTGCGTTTGTCTGTAGGCCAAAAAGCTGGTGAGCCGAGTGGTGAGCCAGAACATTTGTCAGTACCGGAGCCTACAGTACAGTCGTCAAGAAGGCTTGGATGTTGGGCTCCCCGAGGAGGCACTCTTTGGTAAGCAGGAGATCTCTGTGTCATTTAACTTTGAAAGGTGAGGGCCTTGGCTTTCTTCCTCCGATCTTCTTCTAATCTCTTCTTTGTCTTTTCAAGGAAACTTGGATCTGCTGCCGTCTTCCTCTGGGGAAAGCCCAAAGCCAAGCTCCCCTCAGGTGGAACACAGGGGCCTGGTGTCTCATAATGGCAGCCTGATTCACGTGGGAAACCTGCTGCAGCGGGCAGAGCAACAAGACAGTGGGCGGCTTTACCTAGAGAACAAGATCCACACACTGGAACTGAAGCTGGGTGAGAGGCCTGCAGCCCCACATCCTTGCTCGTGTTTCAGTGTCCCAGAGGCTGTGTATACCTTGGTGAACCACTAGGTGCTGCACTCCTTTTATCCTTATTTGTCTTGAAGTTGCAGGTGGGAAGCAAGATTTCTGGTGTTTTCTTTCTAGAGGAGACCCACAGCCGCTTCTCCACCACAGAGGCTACCAATAAGACGCTGACAGCAGACATGCAGGAACTGCGGACACGGCTAGCAGAGGCTGAAGAAATGGCCCGAACAGCTGAGAGGCAGAAGAATCAGCTGCAGCGTCTGCTTCAGGAGTTTCGAAGGCGTTTGACTCCCTTACAGCAGGAGATGCAGCGCATGGCAGAGAAGGTGGGGGATAGGATTGGGAGGGCTCTGGTTACTTTGGAAATGAAAGCCACACACGGTTGCTGTTGGGAGAAGACAGCTAAAGTGACAGCTTCCTTCCTTCTTATTCATTAATTCCTTGGGCCCATTTGTAGAGACTTTCTCAAAGTAGCTGGTCTTTTCCTAATCCTCTATTGCTAGAGTACACATACCTGTGTTTCTTTTTCTCCCTCCCTCTCTCTCTGCTCTGTACAACTGCCCCACCTCCCCCCTTCCCTAGGGTCCTAATCTTTGACACCTGTGTTTCAGGCTGACAGCTGGGGAGAGAAGGAGGAACCAGCATCTAGCAACTGAGGCCAAAGGGCACTGCACAGCAACTGCCACCCAGGGGGCTCAGCGATGGAGTCTGATGAAGTTAGACCCTCTCAGCACCAGAAAGCAGCTGGAGCAGGGCCTGGAAACACAGGCAGGGGGGCTGATGGTGCTCGCATCTCCAAGGCAAATGGAGGGGGAGGGGCCTGGGTTGTGAGGGGAAGAACAAGAACTGGTTCTCAGGCTATTGGCAGGGAGGGACTCAATTTACACCTACCACTAATAGAGCATCTTTTCTTCTCACTCCTGAAATACCGTATCTCCCTCTACCGTGGCTCTTCCTGGAGCCCTTTTAATCTTGTGCTTCCTCATATACTCCCAGTTTAGAATGAGGCAAAGGAAGGGAGGGGAAGACAGCTTGAGAACCTGTAACCAGGCCTAGCACCAACAGACTTTCTGGAGAAAGGGTCAGGGAGTCCAGTTGTGGGCAGTGGATCCTTGATCTGGTCAAGCTGCTGAGCTGTAAAGGCAGATCCTTGAGGAAAGGGGCTCCCGGTTCCTGCACAAGGAGTAGAGCCAACAGCAGGGGCCAGTCTGTGTCTCGGGCTATTTGTCTGTAGTCCTGCACTCCACCAACCCCAGAGGAGATCCCTTGCCAGATGAAAGCCGCTCCTTTCTCTTCTGCTCTTTGTTCAGAATGTGGTAATGGCTTGGGCCTGGTAGGTCAAGCCTTTCTCTGTTACCTTTTTAATTCTCACCTCTTTCCATAACCCACGGTTCCAGTTTGACTTTGTATATAAACAGTTGTCCTTTTTTTGGCTTTTTGTTTTTTAAATAAACCAAAGTCAAAAACACACTGTGTGCCTGCAATCCTAGAGGGCCCCCTCCCCTGCTGTTTGCTTAGTCCTTCTGGTTTGTAACCTACTTGTGTCATAGGGCCCCGAGTCTTCTTGCCTTTCAGACTTCCCTGCACTCCTCTACCCTTCCCCTAACCCCTGAAAATGTAGGCTAGATTGTACTCATCCAGGTAAGGTAGTGAGTTGTCTCAGTTTCTTCCTGTTAAACAAATGTCAGACCTTAGAAGTCAGTTAGCTATAACCCCCAAAAGTAGACTTTCCTTGAAAAAGAAAAGCTTGTTGGGGACTACCAGGCATTAGGCAAAGAGTGCTGTTATCATAGTGTAGTCCTCCAGAGGGCAGCACCACATTGTTCAGAGGACATCATGTATCCTTGGAAGCAAGGCTTGTTGGTTTTAAGTCTGACCCCTACCCCATTACTGACAGAACCAGCAATATGTGTAGGCTTTATTTTAAGTTTCCTTGAAAAAATAAAATCCCCAGTATTGAAGTCAGGGGAGCCCAGACTTTTTGCCCTTTCCATGGGGCTCCTGAGTTACGGATGAATAGAAAAACAGCATTAAATTTACATTTTAAACTAGTTTCCAGACCCCAGAAGGTTATCTGCGGTGGAAAACTTAGAACTCCTCACTTGGTTGAGGCACAGGACACAGACTGGAAAGAAGACAGACTAGCTTTTTCTTAACACGTGGAAACTGGGGCAAGTTCCCTTGTCCTTGCCATGGCATATCAGGGAAGACAGCAATTTTGATTTGTCCCCTCAAGTTATCTGCCCTACCTCTAACGCAGACAAAATGACTTCTGAGGTGGAAGGTTCACCACCAGAAGCAAGGCAGGAGTACTGAAGCAATACAATAAAGCAGATCAGCATACTACATGGCCTAAGGGCCAAAAACTCCATGACTTCAAGTTCAAGACTCCAGTGTTCTAGCTCAGCTTGAGTTGACTTGCTTACACACCTGCTGCTTCTGCACTTAAGTTACCCACTGCTCTAGGCTGGGGCAGGAAACAGTTCTTGTTGGACTGGTTATTTTGGAAATAAAAGCCCTCATGCCTGTTCCTTTTACACTAATTATCTGGTTTCACTGTCCACTAGTGTTCCTCTCCTGAGAAGGCATTAGCTTGCTTAGAGCCAGACATTCTGTGGCATGGCACTAAAATGAGACCACCTGTAAGCTGAGGGCGTGAGGGGGAGTCGCTCTCCAACAAGAGGGTTCTGTTTGGTCTAAGGGCCAGTGAAAGGCAGCAGATGATGCCCTTGCTCCCTTTGCCATTGGGTCATGGCAAAGTTTTATAGTAGCTACTGCTCTTCACCACAGAGTTGGCTTTACTGGGTCTGAGAGTGTATGTGGCATGAGGAGCTCTGCCCCAGGGGGGATTCCGTGTAGAGTTCAGTCATCAGCCACGATGGAGAGGGCTCGGAGCTCGCTCAGCTTGGTTTCATTCTCCTGCTCCCTCTGCTCATCTGTATGACCAGGCTGGTCCAGCTGTTGGGTTAAGTCTCTGAAGATCTTGTGCATCTCAGTGTAGTACACAACCTAGGGTCAGGTGGGAAAAGAAAGGAAGAGAGAGGCTGGCAAGATCTGGACTCACTGGATAGTAATTATATTCCCCACAATCCTCTTAGGGACCAAAAGCCCCACAGTTACAGTACAGTATGCTGGCAAAGTCAGTCAGTAAGCTTTTAAATGCTTACTATGTTCCAGGTCCTGTGCTATGGTGGGGAAGATATGAAGGCCATACCCAGGATTAAGGTTCAAAATGGGGAGAAAAGAGGGTTAAACTTGGTTTTGGCTCTGCTTCCCAACAGGGTGGCAGTAAGAACGCTGAAAGGGGTGAGTCGCAGAGTTTACTGAGTCTAATTCTACAAGAGAAATGCTTGGGCTTTTTTTCCCTTTGGAGAGAAAACCTGTGGTAGGCTGGTGCCCCATGAAGCCCAGAACCCTGGGAAGTTAATACTGAAGAAAACCACAACCAGCTAACTAGAATCTGCCTTTTGGCTTTCAGTCTCCCCACCTTAGTAGTGGGTCAAGAAAATGGTACAGGGCTAGCATGCCACTTTTCCTCTTGAAAGTACAGACAGAGGACACTAGGGCATGGGCAGAGAAATTGATATTTTGGGGTTACCACCCTCATATGGAACCATCAATGTCAACAAAAACAATGTACAGCCGTTTAAGTGGAATAGCCCTGAAATTGTTTTAAGGGACCTTAAAAAGGCTGGTTTTTCCAATACTGGAAGGTGTAATAAGGAGATTGCTATACCTCAACACTGATTCCTGATACTACAGCCTTATATTACAGCATTTCATATAGGTCCCTCTATCTGCCTTCCCTCCCACACCGTTTAGACACTTGAAGATAAGTGAGCCCTAAAGCATGGGTCTCCTCACATGAGTATGGTCATAGTAACCTTGTCTAACTGGCACTCTGTCCTACAGGGGTCTGGAGTTGAGGACAGATCCTAAGAAAATCCTGTTCCTTTATTCCTTATAGGGGCCCAGAAAATAGGAGTCAAATCTGGAAGTTTCCAACTCCCACTATCAGCTCATCACATCTCTAGCAACCTTGCCGCAGCCTTGCAGGAAAATAGGGGACCTTGTGGGCAGCCTAAGCAGGCTAGTGGGTGGACGGGGGTGGAGGATGGTTCCCACCCCCCCCCAAGCCGCACTGCACTGGGTGAGTCACCAGGAATGCTCACTTTTACTATGACTAATGGTATCAGAATTCAGGCAGGGGGAGGGCTAGAAGCCAGTGTGAAGGAGGTGCTAAACACCCAACACCCCCCACCTTACCCACCCCCACCCCCCCACTCCAATCAAAGGTTCTCAAGAAGCTAGACTCCCAGGTCTGGGAGCCCTAAGGATTCCTTTCCTTACAACACTAATCTAATGAGAAATCAACTTGAAATGGGATGGGATGGGAGGGATAACTATGGAGGGAACAAAGTATGATTCCCAGGTAGCAGAAGCTTACAATCTAGCTGTGCTTTAGTTCTACCCTCCAACTCCTCCTGATCCATCCCTGCATAGACTCCGACAGACAGAGCTGGCTGTGAGGCTGGGCTCATGGTGCCAAGCCATCAGGAGACTATGGCAGCAGCAGCTATCACCCCTGTGGACTTTACTCCTCCCCACTACCCTGAGACCCACTGGGAGATCTGCTGCCACAAGTTCTATATCCAAGTGTATACCTAGGATGTCAGGGTCAGTAGGTATGTTTAGTGGCAGGATTCTCCTAGGGCACTGATGGTCTCTAGTCATTCCTTCCACAGTTGTACCTGGAAGCAGCAGCAGGGCCAAGGACTGCAAATACTAGGGTTCTCTCCACATACTTACCACCTACCTCAGGGTTCCTGAAAGGAGCCTCCTACCTCTCCTATCTCTAGACTCTTGGTTACCAGGCCATCCTTAGCTTTAGTATATGCCTAAGCCAGCCAGCAGGTTGAAAAGTGAATCAGGTTCCCACCTGTTATGGAACCTGTAATGTACCATGTTGTCCACTAGAGGGCAAAAGATGCCCAGGCCACAAAAGAGCAACCCCCTAAATAGAAAGATGGTTAACCTCATGAATAGGAAGACGGTTAACCCCCAAACCTAGCCTGTCTGGTTCCCATCCCCAAATCAAATTTTCCACAGCCTCTGAATGGCCTGAGGTCTGGTTGACGAAAGCTGGGCTACTCACTATTCTTTCCAGAGACTGACTTTCCCTTCTATACAATGAGAAGAAGAACTGCCTCCAGACTTGCTACGGCAAGTTGAAGGGCCTGAGAGGATCAAAAGAGTTAATATACAGTTGGGAAGAGGCCAAGTCCCTCCAGATGCCTAGTACTGATGAATTCACTTCAACTTAATGCTACTTTTTCCATTCCCTCATCAGGTGGGAGAAGGGACTGTGGCTGAGGGGCTTGAAGGCCAGAAGGTAGTAGCAACAATGTAGTCATCCCATTAAGCTGGGGGTGGTGGGGGGTGGGGGGGTGGTTGAGAGCACAGGGAACTCTTTTGTTCAGTCCTCATTTTGGCAAGAGCTGAGACCACCTTAGAGTCTATCTCTCTTCTTCCCTAAAAAGAGTTCTGACTGGGTCCTCTGAAGATGCTGCTATCACACTGATTTCTTTTGGTGGTCCCATCAGTTCACATATGTTCAATTCTCTCTGTGCAGATGATTTCCAAGTCTGTATATTACTCTTTCATTTCTTGGAACTCCAGTTCCATTGCCAGCTGCCCACTGGACATCTCCACCTGGACAGTCAACTGTCGCCTCAAATTCAATATATCTCAAAGAGAACTGCTTATCTTTCCCTTCAAATCTATTCTTCCTCCAAATTTCCTTATTTATGCTGAGGGTGCCCACAGACTTCTAGTCTATCAGGTTTGAGCCCTAAGAGTCATTCTTTTCTCTCTTATCCAATCCAACATCCCATCTCTGCTCATTAGGACCACCACCCTAGTTAAGGCTTTACCACCGCTCATCTCGACTACTACAAGAGCCTCCTAAATTGGTCTCTCTGCTTCCAGTTGTTCCTCTCTTCAATCCATCTAGCAGACAACTGCCAAATTTATGTTCCTAAAACCATGTCTGATCATGTTAGTCCCCTCCTCAAAAATATGGACTAATACTTATTGCCTCTAAGATGAAATGCAAATTCCCCAGGCTGGCATTTAAAGACCTTTACAATCTGTCTCCTGCTTACCACACCAGGCTAATTTCATATTAGTCCCTTTCACATTGTTCAGGCCAAATTGGCTTACTAGTTCTCCTTAAACTACTAGCTATACCCTAAACTTAACTTGCCATCTCTTGCCTCCATTCCCCATGTTTGGGATGCATTTCTTCTTCCTTTCTGCCTTTTAGAATCTCTAGCTTCCCTCAAGGCTTGGATCAGGCACTGGCCCCTAAACAAGGGTCTTTCCTGATTGCCCCCATCCCCATCCGTCAGTGCTGTCTCTTTCCCCTAAAATGACTTTGTATTTACTTATATCTCCCTGGTAGAACAGAAGGTACTTAAAGATAGGGCGTCCCTTTGAACTCCCAGAGCCCAGTGCATGCTGCAGGCAAAGCAGCCATGGAAAGACTGAGGCTCCAATTCAAGCACCAACACTTCCTACCTGTGCAGTCACACACAAGTCACTTGGACTTTCTGAGTCACTGTTTCTTCTCTGTAAAATGCGGACAACCCTGATCATGGCAGTACAGGGTAGTAGATGAACCACAGGCAAATCACTTAACAATCAGAAGTGACCAACTGAGCTGCTTGTCTAGATCTGTGGAGGGAGCTGCCCCATGCTGATGAAATCACAGAATGGACAGAAAGAAAACATACTATCTACCTCACAGTTGTGAAGAAACCTTAAAGTGTGACATAAATGTTACCATCCTCGTTATCCCATTATCTCTAGGCCTCCAGGTCCTAGTTCCCAGGCAGCTTCTTTAGGGTCACACAAAACAAGTATATGTCTGGGAATGCTACTGGCTCTATCAGGTTTGGAGAAAGGGGTACTTCTCTCTAGTTCTGGCCTCTATTCTTCAGCCATGAAGCAAAACTGAAATCCAAATAGAAATCATCCCAAACCATGCCAATCTGGGCTCCTCTTAGATGGTTCTAGGATGCTGAGAGCTGAATTCCCTAGCTTGGAGTCACATAGATGTCCTTGCTCTCATTCAGTTGCTTATTCTTCCAGTGGGGAGTCCAGGGGACTGCTAGAATTCAACCATGAGCTCAGAAAGCTCAGTCTTACCTGGGCCCGGATCAGTGACTCAAAACTTGGCTGGAAGTAGTCAAGTCGGCTGCTGTAGAAACGAGGCATCTCCTCTAGGAGCTGTCTGTTCTTGGCTTCAAAGTCGTCCTTCACAGGCCGAAGCTCTTCTCGTACCTGTCCATTGTGGGCTCAGTCAGGGTCCCAGCCCAAGCAGTGGGGGCGGAAGTGGGGGAAGCAGACCTGCATCTATACCACCCTTTCTCCTCAGAGAGCCTAATTTCCAGGTGAGGGTGGAGAACCCACCTGGGGAGCTCCTCCACCAACTGTGTTTTGGCTAGCCCCTTTTCTCACCTCCCAAACCACTGGCCCTGGATTTTGTTTTGTTTGTTTGTTTGGGCAGTTCTAGTACCTGGTGAAGTTTGGCCAGGACTGGCCCTGTCTTTTCCTTTTCTTCATACTTTTCCACCTTGGACTGCAGCCGTTTGTAGTCCTGCAGGGCCTGTTCCCGCCTCTTCACTGCCATGTTGAGGCTGGGGAAGACACTACCAAACCTGCCAGAAACAGGGTAGGAAGATGAGTAGAAGTTGCCTGGGGAAAAGAGTAACATTTCTCCTGCCTGGATACTACCAGGAGGGGAGAAGAGAAACAGCACAGGTTATACAAACTCTAGAAAAGGCCTTAGAGATCACCTAGTGTAACCAATCCCCTCACTGTACAGATGAGGAATCTGAGGGTCAGAGAAGTTGTGCATTCTGCCCAGGGTCACCCAAGCAGTAAGTAGCTGCATGCAGACTAACTCCAAATTCCATGTGCTTTTCCACTAGACTTCAGTGTCCTGGCATGAAACCTCAATGAAAAAGGAAGGGCTAAAGGCATCAGCACTCCACTGGTCTTAAAGCAGCACCTTACAAGAGGATGAACAAGTATGATACTTTGTACTTGCTAGGCTGGTCAGTGTGTTCAAAGTACTTTTACACTCATTATCTCATTTGAGTCTAACAATGACTTATGAGCTGGGTAGGGCAGGCTTTATAACATATCCACTAGGCTGCAGAATTACACATGAGATGAGGATCACAGAACTGTAAGGGCCCTTGGAGGTGATCTAGGACAAATTCCCTCATTTCACAGAAGTGGAAACTTTAGCCCAGACAGGAAAAGTGATTGGCTTGAGGTCAGACCACTTGGTCATAACAGCAGTGGCACAGTGGCAAAGAGTTCTGGAGTTCTGAGCAGAAGGCCTGGGTCTGAATTTCCATTCTACTCTCCTTTGTGACTGGGGGCACATTTACTTATCTCTGGGCCTTTTCCACTACTCAAACTTAGGGAAAATGGGATCCATGACCAACCAGACTCTAGAATATAAACCTAATGGATCTGACTTTCTAGAGAAGTCACCCATTGATCTCTAGGACTTCCTGCCTCTTAGACATCAACTGTGAGGGCTTTGGGACCATTTGATAAGCTATCAATAATTCTGCCATTTCAAAATAAAGGAACCACTTATTTACCAATTGTTCTGAGCTGAAAACCTTAAAGTTGGTAGCACACAGCTGTTGTTCAGAAGACCCCTGGAGCATTTTAAATGCCCCTCAGATATTTATGTTGAAAGACTGTAGAGATAGAGGCAGAAATGAATTTTTTTCCTTGGGAAATCCAGAAAGGCAGTTCTTGAGGTCTTCACTCTTTCACTAAGACCCCACACGAGTTCTGGATACCAAATACTATCATCTATATGGATCCAACCAAACATATGATAATGCTTGCAATAATCATGCTGCTGAAGTTTTCCCCAAACTTGGAACATGATCACCATTCAAACAAAAAATTAACAAAACATTGTACTAGAGTTAAAGAATTATTCAATGATGCCTGAAACCTGGGCAAAGGAAGAAGAAAATATGAAGCTGACCAGAGATGGAAATCATCAACTTGCTCACATGGGGCTTTTCTGTAAGCAAAGAAAATCTTTTGAATAAACCATGTTCCTCCACTGAAGTCTTTCTCAGATGCTTCACCATGGGGTGTGTGTGTGTGTTAGACAGACAGCAGACAGACCCTGACTATGCCAGCAGAGGAGGACAAGGTCTGGCAGGACCTGTCCAGCTGGAGAAGTTTCTGAACAGGCACAGTAAGAAACTGCATATCGGGTAGCCAAAGGGCAGCCCAGCTAAGTAGAGAGAGGCTTTTCACTTTGTGGGTGGCCACAACTCTTGAAGACCATCCCCTAAGTTACAGAGGGATCATAAGCAGTGTTGCTGGAGAGAGTACCCACACCAACAAAATGACAGATTCTTTAAGTATGGAAGTAAGTAAACCACAGCTGGGGCTTGTCCCAAAAGCATGGCATTTGAAGTTTCACTGTCTTTAAATCAATAGCTGCTGCCCTGAACGAGCTTTCCTCACTAAACTGGGAATGCCAAAGGTGTAGTGCTGTCAGTCAGTACCACTGGAGTCTAGTGTAACATGGTGACTCTAAAAACCATGGGGTACAATCTAGAGGGGGGCTGATTGCAAGGGACTCATTTCAAAACTTCTGAACTGGCACTTTGGGTTGTTACTATGAGGCAGTCTGAGAGAGATTTCTGTCCCACCCCTTCTCTCCCTCTCTCTGAGAGGACTATGACAGACAACTGATAAATCACATGGTTCACAGAAGGCGGTGTAGGCAGAGCTGTGAATTCGCCAAGGTGCTCCCACTGGGGAGTAAGCCATTCCAGCCCCACTGGAAAGGTCTTAGTTCTGGGGCTTTCATCAGTTCCAGGGCCTCTGACCTCTGACTTGTCACAGGAAAGGAAAACAATAAGAATTTGACACAGGTGAGTGAACTCTCCAGTGGTTTCTCCTGTGCTCTCCTTGATAGCCTACTTTCCATCCTACTACTTTAGGAAAAAGAAGGCATCCCTTTGAAGAGATAATGCAACATGAAAACACTCTGAAGGCAGAAGGCACTCGGTAAAGTCTCAGTTATCAGGAGAGGTGTTGCGGTGGAGTGGAAAGGGCACTTGCTGGACCTGGAGTCCAGGGAAAACCTAGGTTAAATCCTAGCTATCAAGACTTAGCCCTGTGATCCTGGGTAAGGCAGGCCTAGCCCTGTGATTCAAGTCAGTCACCTGACCTTTCGGACCTTTGTTTTTATAAAACTGCACTAGCTGCCTCCCAGATTTATAAACCTTTAATCCCTGTAGAAATGTGAGTTGTTCTTATCCAGAAAGAAAAGACCAATCCAGTAAGGAAATAGTTAATGGTCCTTCCTTAGGGAGCACCAGCTCCCTGGCCCACCAGTACATCCCCCCCTCCCCTCTACAATTTATCTTATAGCTTGCACTTTCCAAAGCCATGGTCACACAACCCCAGGGAGTGACTTGGCAAGTATCCAGTGGTCTAGGGGCATAACAGCCATTTTTAGGCAGAGAGAGCCTAAGTACCCTAACAAACCCATTAAGTTCTCATCTTGGAAATTAGTCCAGCCTCCTCCACAGAAGTCAATTCACTATTCTGGCAGCCATTTCTTTTTCATGGATTCTTGTTTTGCCCCCTGATGCTGATGTCCCTATGCCAAACCAGGATGCCAGAGGTGGGGCAGGTGGGTACAAAGCCAAGATGGCAGCCAGGACATTACCCTGGGAATCTAGGATAAAATGAGTAGGGAATGTAGACTTTGCTCCCAGTGTGGCCAAGCAATAGTAGACCTCGGCAATTCTTTCACGAGAACCTTTATGATGGGATATTTAGCTCACTGTTAGGCAGAAAGGAATGACCAATACTTCTGGGACTCTTCCCAGTTCTTCCTTTCTCTGACATTTTCCATGGCTTAATGTAGGTTAATCACTAATAAATTTCCATTCATATGGATTCACTCAACTTTGGTGTTCCCCTTGGAGACTGATTTCATGTCTTCCTTGGAGTGGAGAAACTGAGGCAGAGCTTGGGGAGAGGGCACAGCTTAAACCAAAGCTTCTGATAAGTCAGTGGTGGGACCAGGAATCAAGAATTCCTGGCTCTCAGTACTGGCCCACTCAGCCCCCACCTCTCTACTCTCTATTTATAGGAGATGGAACAGCCTTCACCAACTCCCAAGTTGTGGGCAATATAAATAACCACGGTGTTGCAAAAGGAGTTGGTTTGAAAGCAGGAAACCTCAGAAATGGCCTACTGCAGTTTGGAAGAACACCGGTTTGGGGGGTAGTGTGGTACAATGGAAAGCACACTGGATATGGAGTCAGAGAATCTGGGTTTGAATTTTGACTCTGTTACTTAATACCCTGGTGGGGGGTGGGGTGGGGGGGCACATCATTTAACCTCTCTGTCTAAATTTCCTCACCTGTAAAATAAGAGAATTGGATTAGATAACCCCCAAACCCCAAACTGAGGCTCCTAAGATGGGACCAGGCTAGCTGCAAACACCTGAGCACCATCTCAGCGATGGTCCAAGGCAGGACATTCATACTGGCTTCTCTCCCAGGAAAGACAGCTTTAAAGTCCCTGTGACTAGAAGCCAGGTCTTCTGACTGACTCCCGGTGCTCTTTCTACTATCCCATGCTGCCTCACATGGGTCTTTATGTTGGGTTAGTTTTTCATCTTTAATATATTTTATTTTCTCTACTAGAGTGTGACTCCTGGATAACACTGAACCATAGCAGTTAAGGATCTGATTCTTTATTTTGCCCATCTCTTGCCTGTCCCAGGGCTGCCTAACAAACTCCCTCTCCTGGGTAAGGGGGAAAGGAGGGAGAGAGAGGCCGGCTGGGAGGTGGGTTGGGAGCAGCCGGCCCTGGTGGGGAATGCCTGCCATTCCTCAATCTGTGCCCACACAACCGGGATCTTCCACCCACCAGGAAAGGGAAATTAAAAGCATCCCAATCCAACTAGAGCCCGGAGGAGCAGAACACCCAGCTCAGAGAATGGGGGATTAGAGGCCGAGCCCCCTGGAGGCGGGAAGGAGGCTGTGAGGGGGCAGCCATGTGGCCATGTTCTTCATTAGGGGAGGACAGGAAAGCTGCTGTTTCCTGCTTCCGGTCCTGGGGTCCCCAGGAGGCTCCCCACTACCAAGACGGAAGCAGGAGGGGAGGGTGGAGAGGGGGTGCAGGCAGCACTAGTTTGATGTGGTCAAGGAGATTGCATGTCGCCTGGGGTGGGGTGAGGAGCTAGTCTACAGGCTCATGGGGAGGTCAACGGATCTGCCCAGGGAGATCTCAGCTTCCACTCCCTGCCACTCGCCCACCTTCCTGGCAGGTGGTGGGCTGCCATGGTGGTGGGAAGCAGCCGGGATTTCTCTCAGCTGGGCACCAGCTACAAAAGCCAGGGTCAGGGATTGGATTTCAAGGCTGCTTGGTGCGTGTGAAATTGAGTCAGAAGCTCCCAGGACTGGCTTTTCTTGCCTAGATTTGTCAGGCCCCGAGTGCCTAAGCCCTGTCCTTCTGTCCTTTTTAACCTGCCACATGCCAGCTCAGATACCTTGTGCAGGTTAACACGAACTACGTTGTCCTTAATGGAGCATGATCTCCAGGCTATGGCTTCTGACGTCCAGAAGACTACACAAGGACAGGGACTGCTCTGCTGCCCACTTGCCTTCCTGGCTTTCTGTGAAGTCTTATCTCAGGAGGCTGGGGTGCCAAACCACAGAGCTGCCTGATTTATTTAGATCCTGGCTTCCTGACCAGTACAGCTGCTTGTCTCTTGTCATCTCATGAGCCTCTCTCCACAATAGATCCAAACAATATACCTCATTTCTCTTCTTATCCTGGTATTTTGGGTTGAGGGGTGACTGGGGGAGGGACAGTGATTAACTTTGATAGTAGGAGAGAAACTGCTCTGAGTTATAGGCCACTGCCTTGAGTTACACTTAAGTCTTTCAATCATTTCCTGGAAAAGCTGGTGATTAGGAAAGGTGAGAAAGAACCCCTTCCAGAGGTTAGGAGAACTACCTCCTAACTCCACCCCCCTGGACCTGGGCAGGGGTGGATAGTTTATGACTCCCTAAATACAAAGGGCTAGACTGAGGATCAAAAACTGTTCTCACTTGTCTAAGTTTGGGGACCCTGATCTAGCCCTCATGATAATTTAGCAGATCCTGCTTATCCAGGTCCCAGATGAGTCAACTGCAAGAGACCACCATAGAAGAAGTAATAATGCGCAGCTGTTGAACTGGAGCCTGAATCCTTTCTAGGTCAAAGCCAGTTTGGGAGAGGCCAGAGAAGAAGATGAAGTGAGGTGGGAGCTTCAAGGGAGCTTTCCTGTCTCCTGCCACCCCCACACCTACTTTTTCCCCTCAACTTAGGGGACCTAGGGAGCAAGTCTGTCTCTCTGATCATCAGCTGGAGACACTCCCAACAGAGCAGATGGATCCCACTGCAGAATTTATGAGCCTGATGGGTCATGAATTATGAGGCCTTTTTGGTCAAACAATCCTGCTGGTGCTCCCCCCACCCCATCCCCCCTGCCCAGCCGCTCCCTTATTTCAGAAGTTGAATACTCCAGACAGCTGTTCTTCCACTCCTGACCAGAGATGAAAGGGCTCCCGCACCTCCACTGTGGGCCAGCCAAGATCTCTGCTAGCTTAATTTGGCAAGTTCAGGCCCTACTGGGTCTTGGGCAGACAGCAAAAGGAAAAGAGCCAAATGACCATGCTTGGAATGGCAGGTAGAGGTTTGGCTGCCTCAGGGTTCTACAAGGACAAGAAGCTGCATGACAGGGACCACAACTTTGGGGGAATCACAGGTCCTGTGGCCTTTCTGGATTGTCCCTTAGCAGTCCAGCTTGGTCCTCAAGCTGCTGCCAGCCTGCTCGGCTCATCCCTTGCCCACTGCCAACCCCACTTGGGTTTTCCCCTTTGTAAAGTGAACGCCTTCGGCAAAGCACTTTACAAACGTCAACCCTCAGGGATGGCTGCTACGCACTTTTTCAGGGGCTCCATCACGGTCTTTTGGATCTGGTTCACCTGTCAAAGATAAAACACAGTGGGGTCAAATTCCGGGCGGCAATGTAGTTGTTCAGG